ATAGACAAAACAGCTAAAGTAATTGGTTAATAACTTAAGAATTTTACGTTAGAATAACGACTTGTAAATGTTTAGGAGTGTTAGAGATAACTTAGAATTAGTTACTTAATAATTAGAAAAACTAAGGGTTAGAATGGGGTTGGAGGTGAGGAGTACTTTTGGGCTCCCGATTTCGGCACTCGACTACGACCGACTGACTGCCCGCTGCTTTCCTTTTCTCAGCTCTTGTTATCCCGCCTTTGGGGGGGGGGGGGGGTCCGAATGGTAGTGACGCTATCTGGGATGCCTTCCTTCTGGGAAGGAAGGTTTCGTACCTGACGTGTCTCAGGCAAAGGGTTGTTTGGACAAAGAAAAATATTACTGGCCGTCAGCCTGGTCGGTAGGACGTGACATAAGTAAAGCCTGCGGCACACGATGTTTGTTTTCATGCTGGATTGCTTGCTGGATGAAAATACTCTGTTCTAATTGGTGCATTTCTGAAGAAGACCAATCAGAATAAAATATTTCCATCTAGCAAGTAATCCTAGGTACACGTTTAATGCGTTTTTATACGTATTATACGTATTTTACCGTATAATGTAAAAAACCCTAGAAAATGCTCGAAAAACGCTGGGATGCTATTCCCTTACTGTGGTTCCGACAGTTGTCGAATCGGTAGGCGTCGTTGCACAGTTTTTCCACGGTATAAAAAAGCTGCGCAACGACGCTTACCGATTCGACAGCTGTTAAGGTACTGTAAAATAATGAACTACTCTCACCATCTAACGGTGAATAGCATTACTAGATCGGCGCGGTTAAGTTGCGTTGAGCGCCATCTCAAAAGAATGTATATATATGTAAGCGCGCGGATGTAAAGAGAGAATATATAGAAATAGATAGAGAGAGAGAGGATTCCATATTCGGTCGCCTGCAAGAGTTTTATAAAAGAGTATTATCACGATATTGAATAGTATTGCAATTATCGTTTCCCTCTCGTAGGGCTCTATCACGTAAACCGTTTCCCACTCGGGTTCGCATTTATTAAATTCGAGTGTTTCGATGCTTAGTTCGTCCGTAGTATTTAAGTCACTTCTTTGCGTTTATTCGATGAGATATCGGTATACGCGCGACAGCTAGTTCGATGGCAGTCGGGGCCATTGCGTGTGTGTAAAGGAGCGTTTGAACTCTGTCAAGACTGTGTAAGGAATATATATGAGTGTATAATAAATGTTAAGTATTCGTATAAAACTCTTTATTTAATGAAACGCACGTAATACCAGAGACTAAGACACCACTTCGGTTATTCTGACAACGTTGGCGGTTGGTTACGGATTCCGAATTTCTAACTGGCATGTAACCTTGACTCTTAGGGCTATCGCACACAAATTGACATAACTGCATATGCATAGCATAAGACCGTATGTACCAATGAGCATTGAGTATTAAGTCGCCATATTGGTGTTCGATGTTTAATATTCGATGCTCATTGGTCCATACGATCTTATGCTATGCATATGCAGTTATGTCAATTTGTGTGCGATAGCCCTTACAGTACGTTCAGATGGAGAAAGAAGTTTTATCTCAGGCCGGTGTTCATAGTCGGATCTTATATTAAAGACCGTCTTAAGTTTAGCTTCATTGGCTACGGAATATCTGAAAATGAACTTAAAACATTCTTAAATATAAGACCCGATTATAAATACCGGTCTTATAGCGTGTTCGAGTGGCTCTGGGTTAATCACTCCGAGAGCGATTATTGACGTCATAAGATTCCATTAGCCAATTACAAAATTTATACGAAAATGTTCGACCAATGAACTTTCGAGTGACGTCAATAATCGTTCTCGGAGCGATTAACCCAGAGCCACTCAAATACGCTATTATGCAAAAAAAACTAGATTTCAACCAGTTGAAATCTGGTTGTTTCTGCGTAAGATAAAACTTGATGTTACTTTTATAGTCTTTTGGAATACATAAATCAATATCTTAATACATCAATATCCTAATTGGTTCTTCAGCCTAAGTTTACATATTATCGCTACGGTTACGGCAATTTGTATACGAAGGGAGCGGTGCACTTGGACACGGTGCATTTGGACACAGCCAATCACAGCACCGTGTGATTAGAGACATTTATAGGGTCCCGTGGAACAGCGACTTGTGATTGGACTGTGTCCAATTGCCCAGTGTCCAACTGATATACACCCGTATACGAAGACCCTAATGGCTCCTGCACACAGGACGCGGTAATGCTTGCCGCGCGGCGGAGGTTCACGCGAAAGCTAATCAATATGCTGCTTTCCGTAATAACTGTCTAGCTCTTACGGAAAAACAACATATTGATTGGCTGTCGCTCGGACTTCCGCCGCGCGGCAGGCATTACCACGTCTTATGTGCAGAAGCCATAAGGGTACCATTACATGAAGCGCGGAAACGCGAAAGACAAAATCTTACTAGATTTCCGCGTTCCGCGAATTAAATCATTTCTTCCCGTACGTTGAAAAACCGGAAAAGCAGAAGACCCAAAACTTTACTCTATTGTCTTTTCATCCAAGGTACCAAGGTATGAATTCCAAAAAAATATCAGGTCCGAACGTATTTGAACACGTCTTAATGTAACGGCGGTTAAGTTGAGCAACTTGTAATAACTTGTAACAATGGATTTTTCCGTGCTTGTTCCGCGACTTTATTTCTCCTTATATTATATGGAGCACAATTTGCGCGGAAAAGCGGAACAGTTTGGTGACAAATAAACATCTGTATTCATTTTTTAAAATTGTATTTACTTAATTTACTGTAATTTTTACTAATATGTTTATCTTTTCAGCTTATCTGTTGAATATAAGCATTTTAATTAATAAATACTGTTAAAAATTAATATTTTATAATTCCCCATACCGCTTTTCCGCTTAAAATATGCCTCATGTAATATAAGGCAATCAAAACAGACGCGGAACGCGTAGCGAATCTAGTAAGATTTTGTCTTCTGCGTTTCCGCGTTTCCGCGCTGACTCGGCGCCTCACTGTGATTGGTCCATTGAGAGTCAGCAGTCGGGTCGGCCTGTGCAGTCGGTAGTCTGATACGGGCTTAAGGGGCGCCACACACGAATTGACATAACAGTAACGTAAGACGTACCGGAAGAATTGACCAATCACTTTGAGTATCGTAGAACTGTAAAGTCGCCATCTTTGTGAATACTCAATTGTAATTGGTCCATTTTTACGGTACGTTTTACGTTACTGTTATGTTAATTCGTGTGCGGTGCCCTTAAAGCCCGTATCAGACTATCGACTACACAGGCGGACCCGACTGCTGACTACGACTGCCGACTCTCAATGGACCAATCACAGTGAGGCGCCGAGTCAGCCCCTCACTGTGATTGGTCCATTGAGAGTCGGCAGTCGGGTCGGCCTGTGCAGTCGGTAGTCTGATACGGGCTTAAGGGCCTCCACACACAAATTAACATAATAGTAACGTAATGGCTTTGCACACAAGACAATGGCAATGGCAAGACACGTAATGGCTTTGCGACAACCAATTAATATGCTGCTTTCCGTAATAACCTTCTAATGGCTCCTGCACACAGGACGCGGTAATGCTTGCCGCGCGGCGGAAGTCCGAGCGACAGCCAATCAATATGTTGTTTTTCCGTAAGATCTAGAAGATTATTACGAAAAGCAGCATATTGATTGGCTGTTGCGCGAACTTTCGCCGCGCGGCAAGCATTACCGCGTCCTGTGTGCAGAAGACATAACTTTTACGGAAAAACAATATATTCATTGGCTGTTGAGCGGATTTCCGCCGCGCAGCGAAAGTCCGCGCGACAGCCAATCAATATGCTGCTTTCCGTAATAATCTTCTAGCTCTTACGGAAAAACAACATATTGATTGGCTGTCGCGCGGACTTTCGCTGCGCGGCGGAAATCCGCTCAACAGCCAATGAATATATTGTTTTTCCGTAAAAGTTATGTCTTCTGCACACAGGACGCGGCAAGCATTACCGCGTCCTGTGTGCAGGAGCCATTAGATAGCCTGTTATGGAAGATTCACACCGCGTCCGATATTCGACGTACGACGTCCGATATCCAATAGTAGAACAGCTTTCCAATCGAGAATTGAGTTCTCTATTAGAAAGCTGTTCTCTTTATTGGATATCGTACGTAGGACATCGGACATGGAACGCAG